GAAATCTCCAAACGGAGCTGATTACACTTCAAATTAAGATAAAAATTAGGCATTCATATTCTGCAAAAGAGCTGACACTTTGCACTAATACAACTTCTGAACTACTTTCCTTTGATGTTTTTTCCCGAATATAATCCTTGCAGAACCTGAGCATTTTTCAACTTGTCATGGATGCCCCCAGCCTCAGGGCAGCTCTCCAGGTGCAGCCCCTGCAGCCTCTGGGTGACACCTGCAGAAATGCAGTTCCAGTTACAAACACAAGCCCTTAATGATGAGAGTACAGCTGCCCTCTGCCCTCGCTGCAGCAGCACAGGTGAAGGAAGCCCAGGCTGAATGCGCTCCCTTCCAAGCAGAGGGACACAACACATGCAGGCACAGAGGTCTGCAATGTCTGTGTTCAGTGTGGTGCTGCAGCTGTGCAATGCTAAACATCCCTGGAAAACTGAAATCCCCGTGCTCCTCGTGGCATGCTTTTTGGCATCTTAAACAATCCTGCACGCTGCTGAGGGCAAGTAAAGCAAGACTTCCCCATTAAATGCTAACAGAAATGTACCACTGGGAATGAAACACGACTAAGTGATCGGCTCTCCTTCAGTGCAATTATGCCATGCTTGGGCAGAGAAGTGGAACTTTATTTAGGAGCAGAGCCCCAGGCTCAGTCCTACACTATAATTTTTGGTCTTGGGCATGAGCTGAAACAGACTCTTCAACCTGAGTTCTGGAAAACCAAGCTCCTAAACGAGGATTCTGTGGAACCCATAACTAATGAGAAAACCCCAAATTTACACCACTCTGTTGTGTGTAAAAATGAAACTGAAAATAAGAAGCATGGTTACATTCTCCTTCTGTAATTATGAGCCCAGTTTCATGCTGCTCCTCTCAGCCCACAATTAGCTCAATTCACGGCAGCCTGGCAGGGCAGAGAAGACTGGCAGTACAATCAACGCCTGTGAGACAAAGAATAATGGATTTTTTCAATTGTGGTGTCCAAAAAACTAAACTGCCCTATCTACAGGCCTGCTGTAGAGGACAGGCCTGTCATTTTACACAAACACAGCCTCTCCAAGAGGCCACCTTGCACATACGAACTGAGCCTGCTCATCTTGACTCTGTGAGAACTTTCTCAAACACTGCACTTCGTAAGTCCATTTCAGCAAGCTACAGGAAATGCAGTGGAAGGAACAACATAGTAATTGCAAAAAAAAAATAGTAATTGCAAAATAATAAAAGAGGGATCAGGTCACATCAGTAGTAGTTGTCCTGATTTGTTCAAAGACAGATAAATTTTCAAGCACACTCTACTACTCAAATGCCTGGCAGGTAATTTGTTTTCTAAGTTGCTTCCAGATTAAACACAATCTTATTTTGCAATTGGAGCTTTAAATGTCATGATAGTATCAGCACGCATTGCTGCACAGTGTAATAATCAGACTATCTTAATGAGGGACTAAAGAGTCCTTATACTTCTGATACAATCTCTAAAACATAAATGACATAATAATTTAGGCTGAGAACAATTATTTATTATAAACACCTGAAAAACATGGGGCTTGGGACACTGAGGCAAGTCATGCACTGCCATTACAACATGAAATTGCTCCATGGTATAACACTGTGTCTTTCTGAGAAGATCAGAGATGTATTGGCTGGACTCTGGGCACTATTTCCAGTGGAGTGAATGGAGAGCATTTAATCCAGCTGTTATCAATCTGCTCAGAACTGACGACCTAATTTGGAAACTGGATTACACTGCACGCACAGATTAACGCACTGCTGTACAGCTGCACGGATTTGATTCCCATGACAACCAGCAGAAAATGTATCCCAGTAATTCTCCCCGCACAGAGCAGATCTGTCTCCATGCAGCACTAACAAGATTTACCACTAGCACAGTCATACTTTCAATGATTTCATTGCAGATATCTAGACTGGTATAATCTCTAACTCTCTCTGCATCTTAAAATACCAATTCACAACCAGAAGAGACGCTCATATGATGCACTAATGCTGCAAGCAATGAAAAGCCTTGGATACTATATGAAAAGTGTAATTTCTTAGAAAATATTAGTGGTTTCCAAATAATTTCCCAGGGCACTGAGTAAATTGGTGTTTATTTTACCAACATAAGAAAGTGAGTATTACCCTGTACTTCCCACACGAGGCATAGTCCTCTCATATTTCAAGCAAGTGATACACTGATTTCTATTTTGGAGTTTGGTAACTTGTCTTCCTTGCAACAAGAAGAGTCTTTGGTTTCAGGAGAGAAAGTCAGAAAACTGGACAGTATTTTCAGTTCCATCACTGCCTGCTTGCAGGATTATTTAGTCTGTTTAACCATGAAAAACACTGAAAAAAATTTAAAAAGAGGAAAAATAAAAGCTGTTTAGGTACTTCACAGTAAGTTAGAGGCTGAGCTAAATAATATTTGCCAAGTGTCCTAAGAGAGAGCTGTCTATGCCTGAGGGACTATTTTCCTCCAAACACACAGAAGAGCCATGCTGGAGATTTTCTTAGTGTTAGCCAAGAATTTCAAAAGTTGATGTTTATTTCCCAACTCACAGAAAATATCAGGACGAGAAGCAAACACACCCAGTTTCCAGGGCTTTGGAAGAACAGTGGAGCTACAACTGGCCATGAAGAAATTGTGTGATGTTCCAGCTGTAGAGGAGCTAATCCCATCACTTGTCAGTATGGTTCAAAATGTGCTGTCCTTGGTTGTGTTCTTCCACCCCAGCATAACCTGGCCCAAAAAAGGGCAACAACCCCAAATTCTCCCACAAAAAGCAACTTCTGAAGGCCTACTTACAAGCATCTTTGTCACATGTACCTCCTCCAGATAAAGCACTACAGTTGTCTCAATTCTGCATTTCCTTGGGTCAGTACCTCATGGAGTGGGAACTTGGGGCAGCCCCACGCCAGAGCTTTTTCTCAGTGGTAAAGTCCTGAAAATGCTTCCATGAAGTTCAACCTACAGGAACCAAAGAAAAATCTTTTTTAGCAAAGGGCTAATAGATCAGCTTATTGTAATGTGGCTGCAGTGTGAAAAAAACCAATTATCTGCCAGTGCAATTTAATTGCCTTCGAAACAGAATCAGTACATTTTAATGTGTTATGATGAGTTATTTGTATTTGCAATAGTGCAGATCCTGTGTTAGTTCACCAAATCACTGTTTTTCCATCCGGCAAAGCTAAGGACTCCACAACTGGACATTTTTTTGAACACTCACCCCAGAGCTGCAGTTTTAAAACAACACACTGAAAAGATCCCAAACAAGCAAATGTAAGGAGAACTGGCACGTTCGGGTATTTTATTTCCTAACTCCCAAACAGACTGCCTATCTAGGACAAAAATCCTGAAGTCCTCATCTCTATTTGTTGGATAAGGCACTATTTAGAAAACAGCCGCCAATGAATGAAAGACAGTAGATGATAAAATTAACATATTCAGGAAAAATAAATAATCTCAACCAAATTGTTTGCTCATTTCCGTTCATGAGATTGCTCAAGCCCTGGAACTGCTGTAGATCTGACAAAATACTTTAAAATAAATTATGTAGTGCAAGAAAAAAAAAAAAGTAATTTAGGACCCTTTTTGATAGATTTCCTAAATGCAGGTGGAGTTTTTTTATATACACGTGAGCAAATACTCTTCTCTTTCTGATAACAAGCACCAGTTTTTAGTTTTTCTGAACTGGGATTACCAAAAGAGGCTGTAACATCTGTGCATCCATAATGTCAACAAATCTGCTTGTTGTAGATGAACTGAGATGCCAGACTACATCCTCAAAGGAGCAGGTCCCAAAAGGACAGGTTTGCTCTGATGGGGACTGCACCTCCTCCTGCTATGAAGTTGCAGGAACACCGACAGTACTGTCCAAATTAACCACTCAACCCAGAAAACACTGCAGCATGTCCCTGCTCCTGCCACGGAATTTGTCGTGTGTTTTGTAGGTCAAACACGGGATGAAATTTCTTTGAATCAAAATGGTTTTTTTTTCCCTCAGGCTCCAGTTAGCCCCAAGTGTGAGAGGGTCTCAGATAAAATATGCCTCCAAAAATCTACATTTAATTAACAACTGGAACCCGGGGGGCTCATACCAGATACAGCCTCACGATGCCGACGGGTTTGCAGAGGCTCGGCATTAGGAAGATGCGGGATGCTGCACCAGTAACCGCAGATTGTCTAGGGTTGAGGGGCCTCTGGAGATCATCCAGCGCAAGCCCCTGCCAAGGCAAGATCACCTGGGGCAGGTGACACAGGCAAGGCGTCCAGATGGGATTGGAGTGTCTCCATGACTCCACTTCGCCAGCGTACTTCGTCTCTAGGCAAACACCAGTACACAGGCTGAAACAACAGCGACGCGCTATCACTGACACTACTTAAACACCTCCAGCGGCACTGCGGCGGAGCCTGGCTGAGCTGCCTGCGAGAAGCGCCGCCTGCCTTCCGCTGGGCCCCGCCGGCCCGGCGCGGCTCGGCCCGGGCTGCTACCGCGGCCCTCGGCCCCGCCCGGCGCCGCCATTTGCTGCTCTGGGCGGCCGCGCCATTTCCCCGCCTCTCGGCGGCGCGGCCCGGGAGCTCCCGGTGGCCCGCAACCTTCCCTGCTCCTGTGGGCTCCGCTGGTTGGGAACGGGCACGAAGGACTCCGGCAAAAATGTGGGGTTCAGCCACTTGGGAAGGAAGTTACAGGGGAGGAGGGAGGGACGGCTCTCTGTAGCAGAGTTTTCCAGAGGAGAGTCTTCCTCCGTGTCCCTCGGGGTGAGGCGGGGACACCGGCCTCCCGCCCGGCCTCACGGGCAGCCGAGACAGACTGTGCTGGGCACTACCGCGGAGCACCGCTCCTCTCCTGCAAATCCCCTGAACTGTGCTGGAAAGGGGACAGCAGACAGAACCAAGAAACAGCCCAGCTGCGCTTACCAACCACGGCCTTGCTGGCAGTAGCATGGAATTGCTCAATTTACCCTCGACTGAAAAACTACACAAAAGTTAGTTTTGTTGGTCAGATGCATAGTCAGATTGTTACTTTAATTCCACCGAGACAGACTTTGTCTATATGCATTTATACATAAAAGGTATAGAGGCTCGGCAGCTAACCAAACAGGCCAGTCCCCTCCAGTTATCAGAAGACAAGCTGCTTATCAGAAGCCAGGTATAAATATAATAGCTAAAATTTACTCTCATGATCAGTGTCAGGCCACATCCTTTCCCCTACACAGAATCTCATCACAGATTACTTGCATCTCAGAAAACACAAAACATAATTAAAAAAATGCAAGTTACATTAATCAAATTGTTTGAAATTTTAATTGCAATTCATGTTTTTTTGCAACAGTTGCTCAAAGGCTATGATGAAACACAATAATATTGAATGAAACTAAATAAAAGCACAAATACCAGGAAACAGTTCAGCATTTGAAGATAGAATAGAAAAGCCTGATTTTAACTAAGATCTAAAGTATTACCAAGAGCAGTAGGGACTGTTCTTGCAAAAATTCTTCCCTTAATTTAAGGCTTTGAAAGAAAAGTTTCTTCAGCAGTTTGGAGCACCTCTAACCTCCAGCAGTAATTAAGACATTCTTAACATCCTTGACCAAACAAGCATTTTCTAAAAGATTCTAACTTTACAATAAAAAGCTACTAATCATATTAAAAATGAGATTGATCCTTAACACTGGAACTTGGCACTTAATTGCCAGTCATTCAGTTGTTTCTAATATATTGGATGAAACAAATAATGCAACATTTAATGGTTGGTATTGTTTTATTTTCTAATATTGATTAAACTATTTACATTTCTACTTTTCAATCCACAGTTTAGCACTCATACCTATGGCTTTTACTTTTATGTTTAGCACATCTTTTTGTCAAGTGTCAGAATTTAATTAAAAAAACCCAAGAACCTGATACCATATAGACAAGTCTCTGTTTATGTTAAAACATATTCATTTTCAAAAATGATTATTTATAAAAGAAGAGCCTGCTTGTAGCTTTCTTCCAAATCATGTTTATCACAGACTATACCAAGCTCTTCCTATTTTTAAGTGTCCCGTTTAGTATGTCCTGCTGCCTCCAAGTGAAGTCTGTTCCCTCCCTCAGCCCCCCGCCTTTAAATTTAATGCAAAAAGAAAATCAGTAACCAGCAATTTCAAGCAAAAATATAAAGCACTATAACATTACCTACACTGCCTTTCACACAACTAAGTTCTCAAAAACTCTAGAAACTTTGTGGAAATTTAACCACTCATTGTTGAAAAGGCACAGGACTTTTGTGCTCAGAGACCTCCAGCAACAGTGCTTTTAGCCCAGCCTGAAAGTTAAGATCCAAAAATTCACAGGTGCGTTAATTGCCACTTACAGCAGAACCCCTCAGATTTTACTGACTCTCCTGCCACAGACATCCTGCAATTTATACAAGACTTTGCCCCTACTGCAAGAGGAAAAGAGGTGAAATTATTTTTACATAAACCCAGGAATGGTGTGATGATACAATGATACAAGTTGTTCATTGCTAAAAGTCTCACAAAGTTGTCCATGTCTTGTGGTAGTTTCTGTTTCATGGCACTACATGAACGGGGAAGTATTTTTCACATATGAGAGAAGTTTAATTGTACATGAAGAAAGCTAATTTTGGTCCACTTGTCCAGCTCCATATGGACAGCATATTGGAAAGGTGACCAGTGACGGTTCAAAAACCAATGCAAAAGTTAACAAAAATAATTTGGTATTTAATTCTTAAAACTGCAGTGTCATTATGTGTCCTACTCATCCACTTTTGCATTTTGTGTATCCACTAATTGTTGTGTTTCTAAGTCTTCAGCTTGCTCATGATGTTCCTTATCTGCATCATCTGCTTCATTATGATCCTTTTCTTCTGCTTCTCCTTGATCAACACTTCGATATTCTACTTGTTCAAGGTCTGTTCCATCTATAAGTTCTGCCTGTACTTCTTCCATCTGTATTTGATTTACATGCTCGACATGTAACTGCTCCACATGAACTTCAGCACCTTGTTCAGTCTGAATGTGTTCAACTTCCAAGTAACTAATCTGCACCTGTTCCTGCAGTTCCTCCATCTGTGTGCCTTTTACTTGATTGTCCTGTATGAGATCCTGGTGCATCTGTTCCACAGTTACCTGTGCAGGATCCACTTGTACCTGAATTACTGGTAGGACATGCACTTGCTCAACTTGTTCTATTATAGTCATTGACGTTACTGGTTCAGCTTCCATAGCTTCCACTGGAAGAACCTCTTCTGTCACTAATAGTTCTGAAATATTGTGCATTTCTTTGAGATGCCTTCTCAGCTCACTGCCTTGCATAAACCACAGGTCACATAAGGTACAGTGGTTGGGTTTGTCACCAGTGTGTATTACCAAGTGGTCTTTGAACTGATCCCAGCTGTTAAATACGCTGTTACAAACCTGAAACAAAAGATAGAGCGTGTTAAACAGTGCCAACAGGAATGTGACAAAATACAGTGCCTGAGATCATGGCTTCACATTGTATACCTTCTTGCTACTTGGATTCAAAAAACATGCATTTTAGAGGTAAAAGCTGAGAAGAAAGCTTCAAATGAACAGAAGACTTGATATTTATTTATTATTTTTTTAAGAATGGTGATCTATTTTGAGTTGTGCATGCATAAGATACCTACAAAATTCACAAGTCAGTAGAGCATTTGAAAGTTTTCTCATCTGATATTCATGTAAGTATCATACCCCAATCAATACATGTCTGGTACTAGAGTTTTGGGTGTAGAAATATTTATGCATTAATAGGGTGCACTGAAAGTGTAATGCAGACTGTTGTTTTACTGACATTCTAGATGCAGTACTACTGAACAACTTTTCCTTATCAGCTTTCACTTGCTCATGACATCGTGAGGTTTAAAAGGCTAGGCTGAAGGCTCACATTTTGTGATTAAAAAAAAACCCCACTTGAATTATTTCAGCAGATAAAACTTTTAAAACTCCATCCCTCTCATTCTCTTCCAGCCAAAAGTACTGCCTCAACATCAGACATACTGTTTTCACAAAGCACATGAGCTCCCTTCCCTTCAGCTGGCACTGGAGGTAAATAGCTGGAAAACAACACACAGACTGCAGAAATAAAAGAGATGCAGTGTACAGGAGACAGAAGAGTGGGGTGGAGTCAGTCTTGGAGTGGAAAAACCCACAGGCTCAAGAGTCTTTGTCCATGGAAATGTGTTTCACTGTAGAAAGCAACAAGAATACATATCAACATCCCTTCACTGTTGACAAACAGTTTTGAAACAGGATGTTGTAACTCTTCATGATTTTCAGTAACTGCACAGAAAGGTGATGGAGGGAGTATCTAACAGGATTAACTCAAGAGCAGGTCTGTGTAGTCAAGACAAGTATCTCCATTTTGCTGCTGAAGTCAGCTAAAAGGGGTTGTAATACTATTGCCACACATTTTTTTCCCTAGGCTCACATTTCAGAAGGAGATTACACATACAGTTTTTAAAATACTAATATTATAGGTAAGCACTCAAAATTACTTAGTCATACATAAAGCTAATGATTAGCAGCAATGCCCAGGCACACAATTACTGTTCTTGCCACACAGAATCTAATTCAGTTTTCAAGGCATACACCTGAAGAGCACAAAAGGACTCATCAAGAAAGCACAACTTTTTCTCATCTTTGTTCAGTGAACAAAGATTGGTTCAAATTTAGTTCTAAAGAGAAAAACGAAAAATTCATCCAAGAATTGCAGCAGTTTCTGCAGGCTGAAGGGACACAAATCCACATTCACAACATCCGTGATAGGAAGAGGAAGTTTACAAAATGAGTTATGACTTGAATCAGCCCTTTAAAAGTGAAGTAAGATTTATCTCAACAGTTTTTCAAACGTCAGTTACATATAGTGACCAAGTAAGTACCCTAGCAATCTCTACAGCATTTATTTTGCTTAAAAAATACTACAGACTGCCATAATAAATTTGAATTACTTTCCAGACAAAATCAGTATGTTTGGTATCAAACAGAGAATAACAGAACAGAAATTAAACAATAATTTGTATTTTGGACTTTACTTTGGGCTTTACTTTTTGTGAAGCATGCTTAGAAATGGAAAAGGCCTAGGTCAGTGTATCAAGAATCTTGAAAAAGAAGCAAATGTAAAATGCAGCCTACCCAGAAGAATCTATACGATTCTAAGTATTAGAGGCTCCACATCAGTAATTCCAAATTTTAAATGGGGATACTTAGATGTGAGGATTTATCTGCATATTGTGGTTAATGTGATCCAAAGACCTCTCTACTGTCTACAACTTCCTCGTTAGAGAGGGGGTACAGGCACTGATCTCTTCTCTGTGGTGACCAGTGACAGGACCCGAGGGAATGGCCTGAAGTTGTGCCAGTTAGGCTGGATATCAAAAAAGGTACTCCAGCCAGAGGGTGTTTGGGCACTGGAACAGCTCCCCAGGGCAGTGCTCACAGCACCAGCCTGACAGAGCTCAAGAAGCGTTTGGAAAATGCTCTCAGGCACAGGGTGTGACTTGGGATATCCTGTGCAAGGCTGGAAGTTGGACTCAATCCTTGTGCGTCCCTTCCAAACCAGCATATTCTGTGATTTTGTGATTCAATATTATTTTACAGAAGTAGCTCTTAGAGACATAAGCCACTCTCATTGCCTCTCCTGTTCAGTCCTCCCATGCTCCTTGAAAGAGGGAGGCACCTAACCTATTTCCATTACCTACCTGACATTCATACAGCTTCTTTCTTCCCTTTTTAGCACCAGCTCCAGACTGACAGGCTGTCAGGTGACATTTCAGTGTGCTATTCCGAGCAAAACGTTCATGGCAGTTTGGACATTCAAAGGGTTTTTCACCTGTTGAGACAGATACAAGGATTTTTAAGTGTATAAAACCACCCAGTCTTCTTTCAGGTCTCTCCCTCTCTTTCTTGCTCATCTAGGTTGATAAATGCACTGTAAAGATGTGGCCAACAGGATTATTCTGCAGGAAAAAAGATGAAAATAAAATATAAAAGGGCAAAAAACTGATGTAGATTCATAAGTCTCATTTAGAAGAAAACCAATGTAACAATTACCAGTAGCTTTTAAGGTATTTGTGGAAATTATATTAGTATTCTGGTAAAATATTTTAAACACTTTATTTCACACTTTTAATCTGATAATAGTTACAATTAAAGAATCAACATAAGTCAATACACAAAGTGACATATTAAAGAGGGAAAAATTTAAATAGTACAACCTTTTATTTTCAGTAATAACAGCTTATGCTTGAAACTGAGCTCCAGAAAACGAAGCTGGCACAGAATGATTGTGAAATAACAGTGCATCAATACTAAAACAAAAAAAACCCTGCATCCAACTTTGCCCCATAATACACGGAAGAGAAAGCACAGAGGGACATAAATGGGCACAAGCAAGATGAAAATTCCTCTCAGTTTGGCTATTTCAACCATGGTATCAAGCATAGAAGCCAGCTAAGGACAACAGCAGGGGAAGCTAAAAGCAGGTCTTTTTATCATCCAAGGTACTATGCTGTCATCAAGTGGTAATGAACAAAGGGTGTTGCACCATGCACAAACACAGTGACATTCAAGAAAATTAAATTACAAAAAAACCTAGAAGAGCGTGTTTCCTCTGAAAGGCTGTAATAACCTGTATAGGTACTGCCACCAATACTACTACTGAAACAAACAGATAATGAACTCAAAAGAGGCTGAGCCATTTCAGGGAATACCATGAGGATCAATCCTAGCTAGTTTAAGAGCATGCATTATTAGGCATGCAATACTTATTGGACATTGCAGTGGAAAAACAATCTTCAGAAATATATTTACAAGTTCCTAATTAGCTCTTCAAAAGAAATTCACAAGTAGCTGAAGTATCACTTATACACCTGAAAGCTACAAAAAGATGTTAAATGGTGGGAACATTCCCCTCAATGGTTACAAAATGGTACATATTTGGTGAGTGTAGTACAGGAAACGCAGAGGATGCTAAACTGCCTTCAGTGTGGCAGGTCTAAAATCATGGGTTAGTTGATGGGTTTGGAACTAAATGATCTTCAAGGTTCCTACCAAAGCAAACCATTCTGTAATCCTATGATTCTACAGAGCATGTGTGGATGACCAAAGAGCTTTTGGACAAACTCAAGTATAAAAAGGAAGTCCATGGGACCTGAAGAGATGCATCTGCTGGTCTTGAGAGAACTGGGAAGAAGTTGGTTATCAACTATCCATAAAATTAGAGGTGTGGCAGTCTGGTGAAGTTCAAGATGACTGGAGAAGCAGAAGCACAACCCTTTGAAAACAGAGACATAAGAAAGAGCTGGGGAACTACAGGCCAGTCAGTCTCACCTCCATGCCCTAAAAATCATGGAGCAGATCCTCCTGGTAGCTCTGCTGTGAAGACAGGCTGAAAGCCTTGGGATTGTTCAGCCTGAAGAAGAAAAGGCTTCAAGGAGGTCTATGAGCACCTTCCAGTGCCTATAGGCAGTCTACAGGAAGGCTGGAAAGGGACTTTTAAGAGAATGTAGTGATAATGACAAAGGTGGAATGGCCTTAAGCCAAAACAGAGTAGGTTTAGGTTAGATATTAGGAAGAAATTATTTTCTCAGAGGGTGGTGATGCACGGGATCAAGTTTCCCAGAGAAGCTGTGGTTATCCTCTCTATGAGAAATGTTCAGGGCCAGGCTGGATGTGGCTCGCAGCAACCTGGTCTAGTGGAAGGTAGCCTGCCCATGGCCCCAGAGGTTCGAACTAAGTGATATGTAAGGTCCCTTCCAACCCAAGCCATTTTATCAACCTATTACTGCCCCACTGCTATTTCAATGTAATTGCTGGTATAGTGATTGAACAACAACAGGATAAAATATTTTAGGGCATTTTCTCACAGGCCTTTCAAGTTCATTTTAGCATTCAACCAGTGCTGTACAGAACTCAGAATTTAGAAAGCCTGTAACAGAATGGGAGCTTTTTCATTCTCCTTAGGAGACCACAGTTAAATGCTGATATCTGTTCTGATTTTAAGCTTAAGGCTTTTGAAAATGTTAAACTGTAAGTAATTACATTCCATATGTTATACTTATTAGATCAATACATATTTAGTAAGTATTTTGCACCTCTTGTGATATGCTAACTTCTTTTGAATTGAAAATACTTTCTTTGCAAGAGCAACCAACATATTACATAGTTTGGATTACTCTGGTTATCTGCCACAATTTTTTTTCCAAATAGATTTTTGCTTAGTGTTTTTTGCTAATAGTTTTTTCTAACTGCTGATTTTTTAGCACCTGTTTGAATTGCTTATAATGAGAAACACTCCCTCCTTTACAGGGAATAAGAACTTCCCAAAGCTCGTTTATAAAAGGAACTTTTAAGAGACTATTGGGAATAGACTGGACACTGCCCTATATTAATACTCAGCAGTCCCATACACAGATACATTCTAATTAAATTAATTATACATTCTAATGAAAAGGCTTTAACAATAACAAGCTGCAAAAGAAATAGAGCTGCTACCCTCCATTAAACTTTTACTTATGACTCATGACTGGCATATTAAACAAATACATCTGGAAGATCAAGATGACATATATTTTACATTCAGTTATTTGTGTCATTTTCAGTGTCTGTTCAGTCAGCTTACTTTTCAGTGAGATGAAGAGGCAATCTCCTATACTAAAAAGAAGAAGGGAGGACGACAAGTCACTTTGTACTCAAAAGATTTTTGCTACCCAGATTTCAAAGAGGCAGTTTTCACAATAAAAAAAGTGTACTATTATGACTAGGAATGTTTTTCCAGTTTTAGTAGTTTTGCATAATTAACCAAGAAAATTCAAATCATAGATGAGATGAGACGAGCAAATGTGAAACTTTCTAAACATGATGGTACAAGACATAATTCTTTGAGGGTATTTTATGTCTAGTAGGCATTTGCTCAGAAGTTCTGTTAGATAAAGAAACTCTCTAGACTGTATTCCACAAAGAAGATTGTGATTCAAATAATATTTCAACAGAAATATTTACTAGAAAATTTTGAAAATAAAAGTAGTTCCTCAGTTTGGTGTTTCTGAAGAAGGGAACATGACTTAAGGGAGTATTTTGAAAAAAAAATCTCTAAGATTTAACAGACTTGATAGAGAAGTTTCTTTATTACTTTCTGGTTTTAGGTGCCTATTTTTAATTGACTCAATCCACCAAGTTTCCAACATCAATGGAAAACAAAAAAAACCATGAACAAACAAAAAGACATGCCACCATTTTCGTTATAACTAGAAGCCAAGTATTTATAGCACTCATGACTCATTGATTGTCTTCAGCATGTTATCTATTTCCCCAAAACATGCAAAAGCCCAAAATACTAGAAGGAAGGCCACAATCACAGGACTGTAGCAGTGTTCTTACCTGTGTGCTTCCGAAGGTGCTCTTTAAAATGCCCAAAATGGTCAAACTGCTTGTCACAGTACTGGCATACATGTATTTTCTTGCCAGGTCTTTGCTTCTTGCTGGCACCACCTTCATCAAGGTGGTAACAGGTGAGGTGCTGTTTCAAAGCACTCTCTCGTAGGTATCTTTTATTGCATATGTCACATTTGTAATTCTCAGTAGAGTGTGTTTTCATGTGTTCCTTAAAATGGTAAAACAATTTAAATGAACGGTTACATTTCTCACAGTGGAATAAATTGTTCATGTGTGACAGCTGAAGTTCCACAATTTCAATACCTTCTACCTGTTTGCACGAGGGGTCAGTTGCACTATCACCTTCTTCTTGCATCTGGCATTTTCTCTCTCCCTGACGATACTTGCTGGTGATATCTGCCAAAAGAGCCAAAGCAGATTCATCTGATGTACCTGTTGTCTGTATGTACTTTATGGATTGCTCTGCAGAAGCTACTTCTTCAAGGGTTTCAATGCTGTCATCCTCCACTTTCATCGTCCCTTCAGCAATCTCAACCTCAATTTCAACAGGCTCTGATTCTGCAGATGGCAGTGTTTCTGTGATAACATTAGAGGTTTCAGCAATCTTCCTCTTTTTCGGTTTATTTTTACCTTGTGCTTCATTTGATTCTAAGGGTGATGAATTTTCTTTGTTCCTGAAAAACATTTGCATAAACATGGTTAAGGTCAATTAACAACGACATAAAAATTCCTGTCTAGTAATCTAGGTTCTGCATCCAACACTCCCCGAGCTGTTTCTTGAAGTTGAATGATGACCACATTATCTGTGTGCACATCAGACATATAATCTGTGCTAATTTGTCCTTAATCTACACTCCTTAGTGCAGTAAAATAACATTGTTAAAGCTGATAAAATACTTTAAAGTGTTTAAAGTAAATAGCTCTGCTTCAATGATACAGAGCATCTAGAAGAAAAGGCAGTTAACCTAATGACTTATCTAGAAATTTGTGAAATTCTCTACTTGGAAAGAAAACTCCTCTAAAATAATTAATTCTTTGGCCTGCCTATTCAGAACTAAGGTTTAAGTCCCTCCTATGCCATTCACCTCTTAAACTCTGGATTGTGTGCAACTGCAAGCAGTACTTAGAGCTTGTCAGAAAACACTTTAGCTGTGACTTCACATGATGCTTATACACACACGGGTTAACACATCCCATAATTCAGGAAGGCACACTGCTAATAGCTGACATTTAAAACAGGATGTGAAAGGGGTATTCTAGTTTAATTTCTGGGCTTAAACGCACCCTCAGTTCTGTGCTGTTCTCTCTGCATAACACACACACAATCCCCTTCCTCCAAAATGTTAGGGATGGCATAGCATCTCAGACACAGCTGAGTGGGTCAATGCTTTCAAGCCATCCACAGCACTACTGTGCTGGAGGTTTTACTACTGATCATCAGTTTCAAAAATAAGTGGCTATCTTCCCATCAAATAGACTGACTGGAGTAAGCTGTGCTTTTACCCTTCTTCTGCACCAGGATGAATCCTTTCACTCCCTATCACTTCCAGGCTTTCTAGTTACAAGAGACAAGACTTTGCCCAGTATCTCCAAGTCATATTGTCAGATGTGTAACTAATGATGTAATGCAGCTTATAAATGTCACCTTAGTGTGTTCACACACAGGAAAACAGTGTAGCTAAACCCAGTTTCATATAGCCTGGATTTCTGATGTCTACCAGATCACAGGCACATTGCAAGGAGCTCCTGGATCACATTCCAAAAGCAACTAGTGTAGCATGTAGAAAGAATGAGAGCATGAGAGTACTTTATGGAAGTGAAATGGAAGAAAGAGGATGAAAAACAGCATGATGGGACTGGCACCCACTTTTTTCAAGCTAGATTTTGGCAGTGGATTACAGTTCCTGGTACTGGATAACAGATGCAAACAGCAACATTTGATTGAGTATTGAACCCAGATAAAACTGACTTTAACAGTTACATTCATTCAAGAAGGTTGAGAGGTTAATTTTGCAGCAAGAGGTTTATTCTGAGTTTATTCTCTCAGAAAGAGCAAAAAAGCTACACGAAATCAAAACACCACAAAACAAAACAAGAACCATAAAATTAAAACAAGCACAAATTTGTTAATGTAGTCTGATTACCAGAGACACACTGTCACTGCACAGTCAGCTGTCAATCAGGTGTGGGCCATCAGACAGCACAGAGACCAACTATCAGCTACCACAGAGTCATAGCCCTACAACATCAGCAACATTTAGAAGCCATGTCACTTGTCATCATGTTCTAGCCCAATGAATGTGACATTCTTGTTTTACTCTGTGTAATGCTGAAATGTATGTTACAGTAGAAGAATATATGGTTCTACACAACTTAAGGAGGTTCCAGTATAAAGAACAGCACTGCAAAATACTGGCACCCAGCCCTTGCACAAGCCTTATTGAGACTCTCTCCTTCAGTGTTGGGAAGAAAAAGAGGCTTATGTGCTTACCTGATTTCAAGTGCTTTGATTGCTTCTAGCATCTGTAGATACTCTGCAGCTTTCCAAACATCATTTGCTTCTTCCTCACCTTGTACCATTAGCTTTGCTGTATAGGTGAACTCAATTAGGTGACGAAATGCCATGTTACTTACACCTGTGTACAGGCAAGAGAAACAAATTACCTTTAACAATTCTGCAGCCTTATCTTCCCAATGAATCTTGCACACTTGCCTGCACCCCATTTTGATAACAGCACTGTAGTCACCAGTTTCATAAACCTCATACCCTTAAATGGCACCACTGAATGGTTTGGGTTGGAATAGACCTTTATAATCACCTAGTTCCAACCTCTCCCATGTTGGAATAAAAAAACATAGTCTGAACAACTGTGGAGTTTTGCCATGACAAAGATAAAAGGAATGATAAGATGGAAAAAAGCAGTTTCAGTAATATATAGATTTAAACACAAAAATACTATTCCTGGAGGCTGAAATGCTGCTCCAAGAATTTCATTTCCTCGCTGCCTATCACATAAATATTACCCCATGTTTGCCCTGCTCTTGCATCCCAGCATCCCAGCCAAGGCATTTGCCATTGGCCATCACTGACAGCCTTTTTCAGCTGACCAGAATGGCTTTTCTCTGGGAAAGCTTTTGTGTAGTACTGCTAGTCCTAACAACATATAAAGGGTCTGCCTGACCTTCACTGGATATGTATAAGGGGAAAGAAGGGGGAAAAAGCACCACATAATCTCACATTTTCCCTTCCAATATATTTAATTGGAATTAAACTGTTCTCATTTTAATTTTTTTTCAGGGGGTTTTCTTTCCAGTGATGGTAACTGTCTCAGAACAACTCAAGAACTAAGTAAGATCTAGAAAGTTAACTTTCAATAACCAAGCATGTTCAAGTGTTCAAAGCCAGACTGGATATGGCCTTGACCAACCTGGTCTAGTGGGAGGCAAGCCTTCCCATGGAAGGGGAGGTTGGGCCTAGATGATCTTAACATTCTACACTCCAACCCTAAACATTCTATGGTTCTATGCACTAGCCTCTACTCAGGATGATACAATAATTTCCAGCTTGAGCACACAACTCTGAATGCTTTTATTTGCGCAAGTCAGATTACCTTCAATCTCCACCAAAGGCTCCTGAGTGAAATCTTGGAAGAATTTGTGGAAGAACTGGCTACAGGCAGCAAGAACTGCCTTATGAGCTTTAAAATGGTGACCTGCAAAGGGAGACAAAAAGTTTGGTTTAAGGTAACACCTTCCTCCCTTCATAGTGCACATGCAGAAAAAAAGAGCACCCAGTGTAAACATTATTCCAGCAGCATATACAGAGTGATTCTCCTTGTAACACAGGATAGTACTGCAGCTGGCTTGTCCCTTCTCACACAGAACCTTGCTGACATTGCTGACCTGGCTAAAGCTCTGCAACTCAACCAGCTGGACAACTCACTCACTCACTCAACTCACTCACTCACTCACTCTTCAGATATTTAAGAAATGAATTATGGGAAATTTCTATGCAAACTTTTCTTGCTATATCTTGGGCTTAGCTCTGTATGTCTCATGTTTTTGTTGTCCTACAAACTGATATATGTTATCACCGCCACCAATATAAACACCACAGAACAAAAGTGGTTCTGCTCTATTCTTTCTGTCTTCCAGAGTCTGTATTTCTTCTCCCCAGTGGAGGCATGCAGATTCATGGGGCTCAGTGGTACAGGGATAAAGGAAGCAACACAGATTAGAACCACACAGCTGCACACAAAACCAGCTCTGAGTTCAACACAAGGATTTGGTAATGACAGAGCAGGAGCAAACATAGGAAAAGCACTATCAGTGAAACCGTGGCTGTTCCTGAAGAATTTTTTTTTTCTTCATTTGCTTACCTCCTTCTTATCTGGACTCTGCAGGATCCTTTTTCTTCAAGTGAGTTGCTGCTATCCTTTTAAAGATCAGGTGCAACTCCTTTAGCTAAATCTGTCCTAGTGGACACTGCCTATATTCCCTGTAGTGTTCATCCATTCTAAAATATGTTTGGAATATGAAGCAGACTTAAATGATCTACTACATACCACCTTTTCTAAGGAAATAATAAGCACTTGTATCTTCATCATCCTTTTAAAACAGTTTTTATGCTCTTAGAACACATACAAAAAGTGTGTGCTTCTACCCTTTTAAAAGTATACATTAAAAACATTAAAATAGTAGACAGATACCAGAGAAGCTGCTATGAGAAGTAAGTATTATTTCAAGGCGTAGGGTTTTTTTTATTTAAACACAGTATTTGTAAAAGTTCTCTGCATGCAGTCAGACAACTCAAGTCACAGAAAAATATTTTAACAATGTTTTGGGAATCCTTAGCACATTAAATATACCATGGCAGTTTTGAAGAGGGCTTCTATCTGAAAATATTTTAGTCTCTTGTTTGGGAAAGCAGAAGTAAAATTACTAACCACTATGATGAAACTTTCCAAGTAACTTGCACACAGGTACTGAACCAAGAATTGATTCACAGCCCCATCTGACATGTGACCATGAAAAATCCAAGAGCATCCCAGCACAGCTTTCAAAATTCTCTAATACCAACTAGTTGTCAGGCCTGTACATACCATCGACGATCAGAGTGATATCTGTAAACTGGTCCTGCTCACGTTGTTCATTCAGCCTATCCAAAATAACTTTATAGTGCTCAGGGAATTCCTGGATACATTCCATCGTTTCCTCAGCTTCCATGGCAAAAGGCCTGGTCTGCAAAACAAATGTAGTATGAGAGAAAAAATACTGTGCCAGCCAGTAAATACTGTGCAGAGTCAGGTTATTATACAAATGTGAACTAACTAGCACTTGGCCAGGACTTTAAAACCAATCGAAAAACTGTCTTGCTTGCTTTTTTATCCAATGTTAGATGACAGGTAGGAAATGGCACAGTTAAGGATGTAGAATATTCTTATTTGGACACACCACTGCAGCATAATCTCAGTTCTTGCAATCCTTCCAATCCAACTGGTTAACAAGACAGTCCTTTAAACTTTTATATTTAAGTCACACTTAGCAGCTCATGAACACAAGTTGTTTACTTCCTATAATAGGGATGTAATACAGCAGCATTTTTTATTGTCTGAGTGCATTACAACTGCCAGGGATTTAATCTGCTCTCAAGCTTATTCATGTATCCTACTTACACTTCTTCCTCTGTAAAGTGAAATATTCTTTGCCAGCCTTTTGATGTATAATGCTTGTAGTGAGACAGCTCTTCCTCCCTTACTAACACAATGAACATAGCTGGGGGTGGGAGTTGCAGGGGATCTCAGACCTGGAGAGGTCTAGCAGAACTTGGTGCCTGTGGATGAGATGCAGACAGTAGTCTGCTGCATATGCAGAAGAACCTCAGCAGAACATCCAAGTGCTTCAACGAAAGCACTTCACAATTTACCTCCAGGCAAAATTATTTCAGATCCTTGAAGCAATGCTCATTTTCAACTCCCACACCAATGTGGCTTACACTTAGAATGCTGCAGAAAATAAGAATTATGGAGTTCCTGTTTACACCACAAAACACACTTCTTGTCTCTCAGAAAAAAGTCACCCATGAAGAAGTTGATTTGCCAAGAGAATAAGTAGAGCAGAAGCAACTACTTAGGGAAGTCCAGCCCTACCTGCTATTGCTATGCTGTCAACCACAGAAACGCTGCCCACAAAAGTCGGATTCATTACCTAGTGCGCAACGAGGCAATAACTACACACACTCGAGGGGACACAGATTATCGATTCCAGAGTTGTGCAAGCCTGGGCATTGCCCAGTGCAATTCCACTAATCAAGTACCCAACTATAAAAACTTTTTGCTAATTATTGCTAATTTTGCTATTATTGCTTTTTGCCAGGAAGCAAAAGGATTAGTGTTCATCGGTTACAAGTAACATAGTTCTCTAATTAATTAGCATTCTCTCTTCTACTGGTTAATGATTTTCTTGCTTCCCGTGCTAATTAGTCCACAGGCTCAGCCGCCCTCTTCTTTGGGATCAGTGGGTTTCTTGGGTTGGTAGCCGCAATCTTCCCCAACCAGAAATACCGGTTACCCAGTTGGAGCCAATTCCAACACAATTGCTAAGTTTGCTTTATTTGTTTGCTCCTTATTTTGGGGTTTTTGTTACACGTCCATGTAGCCTCTAAATTCTAGATTCTTTGTGTCCACTATCAGTGGTACACCCATTTTCCCAGGCTTTGTTAGCCTGCCCTTAGGTCAGAGATCACGGAAGTATGTCTTCATAAGCTTAAGAAGGCAATTTTACCCACAAGTAATTTGTTTTTCTAACACCTGGACATTACTTAGAGCTTGTAGGCCACTCTCTATATCATGGATTAAATCTCCTTTCTTGCTGAAGAAGCTTGACAGTACACAAAGATCAAACAGCAAAGCAAATCCTTCTGTAAGAAAATTCTACATATTCCGTATTTTGCACCAGAAACAACTGTCAGGGTCTTCAAGTGGGCAGAGGAGCCCAGCCTGCAGGGGAAGATGAGGTGGAAGGGAGGGGAAATGCTGCTGCTGCATTCTCTTCACTTCATCTGTAATGGTGGGTCTAAGAGAGACAACCAGAAATTCCTGCCTTTCTTCACCATCTGGTATTTCACATAAAGTCTCATGTGGGAAGGTGTAAGCTACACACTTCACAGTTTAATTCTTCTTGCCCATTTTTGACACATTATAGAAGGGCAGATGACTTGCAATTGAAAGCATAATTGCTAAAACTAAAAATTCGATCTCCAACTCTCATGATTTTCATCTCCCATGGTTTTTGCTTTACTCCCAAACTGACTGTGGGGATATTTAAAAGAAACACCTCAAACCTCAAAATAATAGACCTACCTTAGCCTAGCAAACACAAGATACTTTAAAAAGTTTCTTTCTTGGAATTCTTACAAAACATAGTAAGAAACATACAATTTATGTTAGGCAGTTCATTAATTAACACAGAACTAGTTAAAAACGTGACTTTACTGTGTATCTAAATGGTGTTGCAGCGTTCTTTGAGCACTCATTGTAAAAACCTCGGTCACACTGCACAAAACAGCACATGTTCAGTAAGAGCGTGACTGCTTTGGAGGAAGGAGTGAAAAGTACAGTCGGGAAAATAAAGCAGCTGAGGAATATGGACAGAAGCAATCCAAATTCCCACTTATGAGTGGGCTCACAGATGAGCGACAGAGAGCGGACCGCTTCAATTGTCTGTGCAATTTCCTTGAAAGACTCATCGAAATACTGCCTGAGCCTTGTAAGCCTGTAACCCTGCACACATTTCATGTGATGTGCATATGATTCGCCGAGCTGCTTTTATAAATCCGCCCCAGTGAAACATGCTATTATTACTACTCCTCTGGGCTACAGCAGGAGCTGCTCAGACTCCGGGCACCAGATGTTAGCTTGGCGCAGACGGATCCCAGAGGCGCGGGCGGGGCAGCGCCGGGGCAGCTCGGCTGACCCGCAGGAGCCGATGCGGCGGCCCACAGCACCGCCATCTTGGGAAAGGGGGAGCCGCGGGCCGGCCAGTGCAAAGCAGGAATTCCTCATGTACACTGCCGTACGTTCTCCTCAAAACCAACGCTCAGGCACGGCGCAGGCACAATCCCGATCCCGATCTTGCCCCTCGCCCCGCAGCACGGACGCGGGATCGGTGCCGCTCCCGCCGGGATCGGGGGCACAACGGCCGCGAGGCGGCGCCCCCACCCCCGGCCGCCCCACCCGGGGCTCCCCGCCACCCGCGCGCGCCTCCCGCGGGCTGCGGCCCGCGCGCCCCGCGGCCACCCGCGGCGTCATTGGCGGTCGCCGGTGTCATTCAGCGCGACCCCCGCCAATCGCGAGGCGCGGGCAGCCCTCGCCCCGGGCGCAGAAGCCAATGAGCGCCCGCCGAGTGCCCGGAGCGGGCGAAGGCGGAAGGCCTGGCCCGCGCCCAAGGCTCGCCGCGCACGGGGGATCCGGGCGCGGTGCAGACGGCGCCGGCAGGCACGGGGGTCCCGCGGGGCGCCCCGAGAGGGGACCTGACTGCTGCCGGCCCCAGCCTGGCGCGCGGCAGCGCCGCCGCCTCGTTAGTCCTTATTACGTCATCAAAGCGCGCATTAAATCGATCCCTTTTCAATTCCCGGCCGGGTCGCGGCCCGACGACGCGGCGCTCCGAGGGGTGGGGAGGCGGTTCCGCCGGGGACTCACCGGGAGCAGCTCCTCGCCGCGCCGCTTCCCGCTCCACCGCCGCCGCTTCCTGCTGCCCGGCACGCTGGAAAGCGGGGCGCGCGCCGGCCAATCCCGACTCGCATTCCCGGCCTGCCCCGCGCTCACCTTCCACGCGACAGGGCGCGCGCGCGGCGGGGGCGGGGCCCGGCGGCCCGGGGCATGCTGGGAGTTGTAGTCCATTTGTGCAGTGCGCCGGGTTCGGAGTGGCAGAACGAGTCGGGCTGGAGGGGACTAGAGCGGGTCATCTGTCCCAGCCTCAAGCAGGATCATCCCAGAGCACATGGCACAGGATTGTCTCCAGACAGTTCTTCAGCATCTGTGAAATGAGACTCCAGAGAATCTCTGGGCAATCTGTTCCAGCACTTGGTTATCTGTTTTGTAGAGTTCTTCCCAATGTTCAGGTGGAACTTCCTCTGCACCTCCCGCTGCCCATTATCTTGTCCCTTTTCTCGGCAGCACCGAGCAGAGCCCAGTCCTGCTCTGACCCCTCCCTGCAGACACTGACAGACACTGATAGGGTCCCCTCTCAGTTGTCTCTTCTCAAGGCTGAACAGGGACAGCTTCCACAGCCTGTCCTCATAACAAAGATATTCCAGTCCCTTGATCACCTTGTTGTTCAGCTCTGTTCCTCTTGATGAGGAATGCCTGTGTTTCTCCTTCTAGATGCATTTTGCAGCTACATTGCAGTGCATTCCTTAGTCTGGCATAACAGAACATTTTGGAGGACAGGTGTTAGGGCCACATAGACCCTCACAGGCAGGACTCATACCCACAGGATTCCCTTTATCCCATGTCCCTTGACTCTGTTACACAGCCACTCTTCCATGCAGTTCCATAACACCGTGTTACTTTATAATACAGATTGAGCTGTGTCCAAAATGAGTGTCGTGAAGCACTGTCAAAAGCTGAAAAGTAAGAAGTGCAATACCGCCCAGCAAGCCTCTGTGGCATCCTGATGTGCCCCTCCAGGTCCCCACGGCTGAGGAAGGAAAGGTTCAGGCAGCACCTTGCAGCTCCAGCACAGCTCCTGGGCTATTTGGCACCTTAGTGAGACAGCAAGTGCATGGCACTGGCTGCAAGCAGCCCCTCTGCCATCCTGCCTGAGCGCTGACAGTGTGAAACTCACGTTTCTTTTCTACACTGGAGTCTTCAGGGGACCCCTACTCATCCACGTTTCATGTCCTTACACCACATGAAAATGTACTCATCCAAATAAACCAGTACAATAATTTAACTTGTCAGAACAGACAGCACGATCATCCCTTTGAAAGCCTCCACGCTAAAGCTGACAAGAGAAGAGCAGCCTCATACAGTGGCTCTAATTAGCTCGCCAATGTTAATTCCTGAAAATTGACTTGTTTTTGAACTCCATCCCTTTCCCATGGTGCTTATTGCTTAATGGCCTTGTTAACATAACAGTACTATTGATCTTGTCAGTAGGTCTGCTCAGACAGTTATTTGCAGCCTAGGAGTTGCCTGCCACACCCATTCTGGTTTTCTGGAACACAACAGTACATAAGCAATATTGATGCCTCCTGCATTTAAAAATATATGAAGGTTTGTTTTAAGCTAGCAGAGATCAAATTTTTAGTCGAAGAACTATATCTCCGATAGTTTATAATCCAAATAGAAATATTGCTAAATCTATCACTGCAGCAGAGTACAAAACAAGAATTAAAATTTTCAATCCCAGCACCTTCTACCTTTCCAGTGTTGGCGTCTTGCTTGTTTTTGATTAATGTATGGTTTGTTCTGACCATTTACTTTTTTTCTCATGGCATTCTCCACTGTATTTCTTTTTTTTCCTATGGCTTCCTCCATTTAGTTTTACTGTGAGGTTAGGCTGAAGGTTTTAAATGAACAGTTCATACTTGGTCCTAATAGCTTTTCAAGTATAAAATTACACTGACTAAGCTGTAATTCTTATGTTCTCTTTTTCCTCTCTCAGAGATGGATATGTTGTTTCCCAGTACTACCTCCAAGATTTCCAACACCTATGTTACAAAACAATGCAAATTAGTTTTAGTAAGTCTGGAAACTACCTGGTTTATAGTGCATTTTATTTACATAAGGAAGAGTATGTTAAGCAAACATCTAAAGGATCTTGATCAATAGCTTTAGTTCAACCTGTATTAGCCATTTATATGCCTAAAAATTACCTATGTTTTTTCCGTTTCCAGAATCATCTCAATGACACTAGAAAATCCTGTATTAATTAAAATAACGTAATATACATCTTCTAGACATAACATTCAGCTGAATTTGGGAAAATTACTGAAGTGTAGATGTTCTCTTCTAGCTCCAGCCTCTCACAGCAGGATTGAACAGGGCTGAGAGCATCTGTCCAGGCTAAGCATTGTGAGCCTCTCCCAGGGGGAGCTGTAAGTACCAAACAGCCAAAAATGAGTACTAAATTAATAGTAGAAAATTGTGAATTACATATTTCCCTTCTTTAATAAAGGAAACACCTCTTTGTCTGAGGAAATGTAGGCATTCATAAACTGGAGATGTGAAATCAAGGAGGCCTGCTTTTGTGCAGCAGTTAGTAGATAACTGTTGTCCAAAAGCAGGTGATTCAGATAATAAATGAAGGCCAAAAGGGACCATTAGCTCATCTAGTGCAGGGCCATCCACCTGGCAGCCTCTGACGTACATCCAGCTTGCTGGACAGTTCTGACTGGCTCCCAAAAATGGTTTTGAAAGCTCCTTAGTGCACTCATGGCACACCCAGATCTCCCACATCAAAACCAAATTATTCACCAGCCAGAATACAGGTATCTGCAATGTAGCCTGTACTGGTCTCTTCTATTAGAAAATTGTTACGAAATCAACTGCTCCTTCCTGTAGTGTTATCAATCATTTGCGAGAAATCTCTGTATCGGGCGAGTCAGTACGTCTCCCTCGCACGGTACTTGTTCTGTGCATGAGAAGGCTGTGCTGTCATGCCTAGAGCAAGCCAGATGTGTGCTGTTATGCAAGAGGAAAACATTTCTGTGGGGCCCCTTTGATAGGTATGCCGAGGGCAATAATATCAGTGTCTGTTTAAAAGGTTTTAAAGGAAAATAAATGTGGATTGTGCTTCTGACAGAGAGCTGTTCTGTTCATCCTCCTTATTTCTTTATTAGTTTCAGAGTGAAGGGAAGATATAAGGAGTTAATGGAAGTAAAAATGATAGTGTAACTACAAAATGTAATGCTTGAAAGCTGTAATGTGTAGAATTGTGGTTGATGTCAAAAAATATTTAGACCTTAGTCCTGTGACTCAAACGTGTCAGCCTGTTCCTTCGTTATCTATTTTCAGAGGAAATGTCCAGCTAGGACAGGATGTGTATTTATATCTATTCAGTATTATCTGCTGACGTACAAGCTCCATGCCAAGTCTTATCTACTGTTTACAAGTTTCATATTTTTGTGACCCAAGAAAGAGCACCTGACTGGTGAAATCAGGGATATCAGTGTCTGTTGAATGCTGCAAGCGATGGTAGTTGAATTCTAGTTCTTATCTAAATATTTTCTTTTGTGTAATTTTAAATGTCTGGAGGAAGAAGCAAGTCCAGCTACTTACTGTTCCTGAGTTTCATAAACTATAGGATTCTGCAGGATTACAAGAAGCATGCCTAAAGAAATTAAATGTAAAGTACTTGGCTATTTTTTTTTCTTTTAATCCCATAAAAAGAATAATACATATAAATATAAAATTAGTTGTGTTGGAAGATCATATAAATTCAGCAGACTTTGTCT